GTAGCAATGTCGTGAAGAATGATGGAAGAGCCAGTGTTGCGCAGCTGACCCGGCCGTCCACAATTGGCATGTGGCTTTGGCAAGGTTTGTCGTGGCATCCGCACTTCCCAGCTCCATGGGTATGAAGACGTCTGACCTGCCGGACTTCAAAGCTATTATACGACGCGTCATGGCAATGATGGGAGACGATGATCCTGCTTCGAGCCAAATAGCAGAAGGTAAGCGGGAGGCGATCCGTTCAACCGCATCGGCAAAGTAGACTGGTTCCCGGGTATGCTGCACCAACTTTTCTGCAGTGAATCGCGACCAGGTTCCTTGGGCAGAGCAGGTCTCGATGCGGATGCGAGGCGGTCGTATCCTGATCAATTTAGCCACTTCCGCTAGATGATCCAAAATGTCATCCGCGAGGTAAGAATGGTATGCATGGCTGTTTCGAAGCCTGGTTTTCTTGAAGGACCGGCATTCCTTCTCGGCCCTCTCTACGGATGGCCCGTCACCGGCAAGAACAAAGCTGCGAGGACCGTTGTAGCATGCAACATCGACGTGAAGACCGCTCGTCGAATTCACCAGACGTACCACGGCTTCGAGTTCCCCTTTGTCGCACTCGACTGACAGCATGGCGCCACGCTCTAGACCCCAACTATCTCGGATAAGGCGAGCCCGACCCGAGACAAAGAGAAATGCATCTTTGAGAGAAATGGAATCGGCAACACATAGCGCCGCGAGTTGTCCAAAGCTGTGACCAACCACCGTGTCCACCTCCAGTCCGCAATCAATCCAGCACTTGGCGCAAGAGACTTGTAAAGACAGAAGCATGCAATGGAGAGAAACGATATCTCCAATGGCATCGCCCAGGAAAACACTGGGGAAGATGCTGGGGAGGCCGAGAGTCTGGCAAACAGCGTTGCATTCATCCTGTATCGGGGTCAATCAGCATCTACTGTATGATTCAATCACGTCAGAACTCTAAAGAGGATGCTGTTCTCACCAAACGGGTCCTGAAAAGATCGCAGCGCTCATATAGCTCTATCGAGACGCTAACGTTGCAGCTTGTTTGGCCGCCAAAGCACAACACGACAGGATTCTTGGCCGTCCGTATCGCAACTCCATCCGTCGTCGCGCTTGAGCTGTTAAGGACAGATATGGCACTCTTCACATCAGCTGCGATGAATGCAATCCGGTGCTCGAACGACGAATTATGACTTCGAGCTATCTTGTACGCCACACTTCCAAGCGAAGTCTCGACCTTGGGCAGATACGACTTCAGCTTATCCATGTACGATTGGAGGCCATTTACGGTCCTGGCGGAGAGAAGAATCGGGCTGACGACAGAGGAGGCAGACGGGCAATCTTGAGTCCCTAGTGTTATTTCTGGTGCTGAGCTCGAGAGGGGGTTTGAGTGCGCTCGAAGTACAAGCGCCACGTTGCTTCCCGCAGCTCCGTAATTATTCACCAGGGCAACATGGCGCTGAGCGGTCCACGACTGGGTAACCTTGGGCACTATTATCTCTCCCGATGCAGAAGCCTTGATGCGTGGGTTCAGGGATACGAAGTTGGCCTGCTTTGGAATTGTTTTGTACTGCATCATCAAAAGTGTTTTAACGATGCCAGCAACGCCAGAAGCAGCTTCGGTGTGACCAATGTTATCCTTGACGGAGCCCAAGAACAGCTCATCGTCGCGCCAAGGACCTGCAAGCGCCAGACGGACACTCTCATACTCTATAGGGTCTCCAACGGGAGTTCCTACCAGAAAATGTTAGCAAGGTGGGACCATCTGGACATTCAATTTCCAGGGCTGTTTGTCTACGGGCTTTCCTCACCAGTGCCATGTGCTTCAACGTAAGTGACTTCCTTGGCTTCTATCCGTGCGGCAGAAAGTACGCGTTTGTACAAGGAACTCTGGGATTGTGAGTCCGGAGCGGTGATGTTAGTGTGGTTGGAGCCTTGATTGACTGCCGAGGCAGCAATGACTCCAAGAACTGTATTCCCATCGGCTATCGCCCTTGAAAGCGTCTTGAGGACGAGAATGCCGGCGCCTTCACCACGACAATAGCCATTGGCCTCGGCATCGAAGGCTCGCGATGACCCGTTAGGGTTGAGGAAAGACGCAGCCGAGAGATTTTGGTGCAGAGTAGGGCTTGTGATGACGTTGACTCCTCCGGCGAGCGCCATGGAGCATTCTCCGCCGAGAAGTGCCTGTAGTGGTATCAGGCTTGCGTTTGAGGACTACTGAAATTGTTAGCTTACCTTGCATGCTGTATGTATAGCAACCGCAGATGAAGAACAAGCTGTGTCAAAAGTTAAAGATGGCCCGCTCCATCCGAAGAAGTGGCTGATACGACCACTAATGAAAGCCCGTAAAGTGCCCGTAGCTGCGAATGCGTTGGCATCATGAGAGGCAATATTTTCCTCATAGTCAACAGACCCTACACCAAGATAGCAGCCCACATCTGCTTCAATCGAAGTAGGCGGCGTGCTGCAGTATCCCGACGACTCCAGCGCCTCGTACGCAACCTGCAACGTAAGCCGCTGCTGCGGATCCATGGATTTTGCTTCGCGGCCCGAGATACCGAAGAACCTATGGTCAAAAGCATCAGGGCTATCAATGAAGTTGCCCCAAAAGTTGGCCAGCTTAGGCTCACGGCTGAATTCGGCCGGGTTAAAGCGCTCAGGGGGTACTTTGCCGATTGCAGTTTCTCCTGCCCACAGAAGTTGCCAAAATTCCTCAAGATTTTCGGCTCGGGGAAACCGGCAGGCCATTCCTACGACGGCGATCTCTTCAAGCGAGGTCGTGTCGTCGTGATCCAAAGCAAAGTTCGCGTGGTTGTCCTTGGTGGAGAGCGAATGGGGTACGCAGAGTCCGCTGCCCAATGGCACAAATGTGACTTTGCCCTGGGGAAGGTCGTTCATCGTCGACTTGACGGTTTGGAACCAGTGGGCTCGTTTGCAGAGGATCATCTGGATGGCGATTTCATGAAGGCCGCCAGTATTGATAATATGAGCATCTGCAGTAGATCTCAGGGGCAAGCGCAGCTTTTCTGCATCAGGCAGCCTAAGTTCCCTGTTTTTAGCGCAAATTTGACGAAGCCTCTCAGCGGCTTCGGCATTTCTTGAATGATGATAACATCCATTTAGGCCAATTGTGGTGGCGGCTATCTTGGCCTCGCGCATCCGCAAACAGAACGCCGCTTGACTGCCACTGGGTAATGTGATCGTGATACTCCTGTCATCTGTTATGCAGGATACGTAGGCCTATCTCGTCAAGTCAGTGCAATTTCTTCTATGATACCATCAGGTCCAGTCTTTCTCGCTTAGTCGATCGAGTCGTTACATGGAGCCTGGGCACTCATCCCTATCTACCGAAGGCTGAAAATGCCAGCTTGGCCACAGCATATCAAGTCGAGAACTACTCGTTCGTGGATATCACTACCCCTCTGAACGTTTGGCCACGCTGAAGCCGAAGAAGAACGATGCTAGCAGGGTGAAAGAAGGCCGCTTACCCCGGGGAAAAGATCCAGGCAGATTTCCAAGAAAGCTCTGTCTTCCGCCGTTTTCCAGCGAACATGGACGGCCGTAGCTCTCTCTTGAGCAGGACGCGATGCCCTTTCTGCATCAACGATGATGCCGATGCACGCAGCGAGTCGAACAGCGTTGGAAAAGTTGCATTCAAAATCAGTCCAGTCGTTGGCGGAAGCAAGCGCTGCAGCCGAGAGAAATCCAACACAAAACCCTTGAGCTGCCTCAAAGCCCAAAATACCATCTTTTGTGCCTGAGACGTCGGTCAATCGAATGAAATTGACGACTTGTGACACGACCGTGAGCGACGATAACTGAGTGTTCGTCAAATCCTCAGGGTCTAGGTCTTTGGCTCCCATTGCGAAATCCCGGAGTTCTTGCAGCTTCTCGGCGCCTGAAAAGCCTTGAAGGCCATAGTCCTTCTTGAGCATGGACCATAGTGAGGGTAATGCTGTGAGAGTCTGCTTGAGGAACCCAAGCTTGTGGTCTTCCAGAAGGGCAAACTGCAAACTCGAAAGACTTTTGTGTGTCCAGTTCGTCACTTGTGGTCCAAATAAGGCAATTCGAAATTCGTTTGAGGAACCCTTTGAAGTGGCGTTGAAGCAAGTCATTACCGCAAAGGCTCGTCCAAAGTACGTTGAGTACCTGAATGATGGTGGCAGCCGGTTGACAAGATCTTTCCCGCTAGCGCTATTTGCTACGGCAAGAATGGTCCATGGATGTCTCCATATAATGCATGATGCCCCCCATCTAGGCCTAGATTATCTGTGCATCTGGCGGTCTACGACGAGCTCAGTAACTGTGTTGCGGCTCGTCGTCAAATCAGCCTTGGTTTCCAAAAAGAAAGGTTTACTTGGCGCCGCTTCTCTACTGCTGACCCGGGTTAAATTTCTTCAAGCTCCTGCAGCAGCAGCTGCGGACCCAAGTAACAGGCTGAAATGCATCGTATGCAGTCCGTGCACATGCATCATGCAATCATAGGTCCAAGGAAACTACTATACCGGTGAGTAAGTCTCAAAAGCTCTATCGCATTGTCTGGCACCCAGCAGTATTGTCGATTTCATGCGGGTTTCAAGTGAACATTCCAGATTTCAAATCTTCTATAATCTCTTTGACTGCCTGACATACTGAGCTGTTCTTCGGAAGTGGCTCGACCGGTGGTACTGTGAAGTACTGCGCTGCTCTTAGTCAGCTTGCTTTCAGTTCGGGGGGCTTTTGTGTGTGCCTAGAACGAGATTGCTACTTAGAAAAAGTCTTTTATTATGCAAGCAATGAGCTCTAGAGGGGCTATATTAGGCACCGTAGGAGGGAGCCTCCCTGTTGTCTCGCTTGTTACCTGTGTATTACTTTTACTCGTCGTCTTCCAGCTATGGCGAACATGGTGGCGCCTCAGGCATATACCGGGACCCTTCCCTGCCAGTATCACCAACTTCCAGCGCGCTCGTTGGGTTACAACCAAGCGTGCACACCTGATACTCCAGGATATGCACGAGAAATATGGAGAAGTCGTGCGTATTGGACCGAACACGGTGGCATTCAGTAACCCGGAGGCGATTCCAACTGTTTATACGGCACGGACTGGATTCCCGAAAGTACGTTTTCTCACTGCCAGCCTTTCAACCCACATTGACATGCTGAATTTACCTGAGCGGTCCAGAGTGCCTTCTACGCGACTCTCCAAGCCTATGCCCCAAAGGGTGGTAACCTTCAGGCCATTTTCAACACTCAGGACGACGACATGCACAAACGGCTCAAGACCCCTATTGCGCCCTTGTTCACCCCTGCGAACGTACCCTCCTTTGAGGGTCGCGTTGATGAAGTCCTGGAATGTTTGCGCGAGAAGCTCGACGAAAAGTTTATTGAGAATAGTGAAGTCTTTAATCTAGGCCAGTGGCTGCAGTTCTTCGCGTTCGATGTCATGGGTACATTGACCTTTTCGAAGAGGTACGGGTTTCTGGAAACTGGGAAAGACGTTGGGGGAATGCTGGGTACAATCGTCGACTTCATGAGGAGCTCTGCCCCAGTGAGATATTTACTCCCTCATGTCGAGGCACCCTCTCCATACATATATAGCTAACTTTGCGCAGCTGACACAAATTCCCTGGCTTGACTGGGCCCTGCGCAAGAACCGCATCGGGGACGCATTCCAGCGTAGGTTCGGGGTCCAGGCATCCCTTGGGATACTCGGGTTCGTGGGCAGGGCCATCAAGGAAAAGCAAGGGACTATGTCCAATGGCGAGTACAAGGATACTGGTGACAAATATGGCCGTGGGAAAGATTTTCTGACTCGATACATCGAGCTCCAGCAGAATGACCCCGAAGTACCGCCCTGGTAAGACTCCAATCTCTCGACGCAATAGACTGGACTCGTATTGATCCACATGCCAACAGGGCCGTTACCGCATGGACGTTCTCCAACGTGATCGCAGGCTCGGATTCGGTGGGCAGCCTCATGCGCACCACAATGTTCAACCTCTTGGTCTACCCACACACTCTGGAGAAGCTGTACGACGAGCTACGCTCTGCAAATCTCTCTCACCCATTTCCCAAATACAGCGAGGTGCGCAATCTGCCGTATTTAGATGCCTGCGTCCAAGAAGGCATACGCATGCACCCACCCTTCGCGCTACCCTTTGAGCGCGTTGTGCCAAAAGGTGGCGTCACGATCCTTGAACACTATCTGCCTGCCGGAACAGCGGTGGGCGGTAGTCCCTACGTCGTGAATCGGCACAAGGGGATGTTTGGTGAGGATGCCGAATTCTGGAGGCCAGAGAGGTGGCTTGAAAAGGATGAAATGCATAAGAGGAAACTCGAACAGGCGGTATTGACTGTAAGTTTCGCCTTCCGCTCGTCAAGCACTTTTCGCTGATATTTTTATCGCAAGTTTGGTGCTGGCAGGCGTATCTGCCTGGGAAGACACGTAGGCATCTTGGAAATCAAGAAGCTAATTCCGTTTCTCATTCTCAACTACGATGTGGGTGTAATTCCAACTCCACAAACGTCGCACTTGCCGTGAACTTACAAAGGTACAGATTCGCATCGTGGACCCCGAAAAGTTCGAGCTTGAAAATTCATGGTTCTTTTTTCAGAGGGGACTGTATGCTAGAATTCAGAAGCGGCCTAAAGATGCGGGAAATCAATCATGAAGTTGCAGGACATGACTAGGCGATGATAAACGGTGTATGCGCTACATTGCTTACCTTATTCAATAGTTATGTAGGTGTCTAGGAGCAGAAGGCTCAAAAATAATTTTCACTGCTAACCTCCTGCCAAGCCTCATTGGGCTAATAGAGGCGTAAAGTATTCATATGGGTTGCCGTAGTTTTGCGATTTTCAAAAATTCGAAATTGCGGGGTTGACCCCCCTAAGTATTAGTATGGGTTGCCATAAACACTGAAACCATGAAGATACTCACAGTCTGCGTCTACTAAACCAACCCTGCTGCACCAGGTTGAGAGCACTTCGCTCAAAACAACGCGTCTCATCATTGATACCTCGACCGTCAATCCTGAAACATGCTTGCAGCAGATATAAAGCAATCCGCTTAAACAATCTGTCTTCTGCAATTGCTACTCAAATCTTCAATGACCAGCCATGAGAGGAGCAGCAGCAATCCAAAGCATCTGAGATGGAAACTATCTGGTTCATCTTTATTCTCTTACATCAGCTGCAGCGAGGAATATCTCGCATCCAGGAAACGTCTGTAACATGAGCACAGGCTTTTATCTTACAATACAACCTTTTGGAACAGCCTATGCCACGTTGAATGGTTGGCAGACGCTATGCCTCCCTAACCTACGCCTCTATCAACACCTCCCACAGTCTCCCCCCTTCCCGATAGCCATGCCCAATAACATTGACCAACCAAACATCCTTCCCTATCCGCCTCAAAAAGCCTCTACTCTGCCTCGCCTTCTCCACCCTACCCCTCCTTGCCGCTTCACCCACACACCTCCCCCATTCTCCCCAAATTCCAAATGCCTCTTCCACCCACGCCCTGAAGCTAACCTCCTCCACCATCGTCGCGGTTGCAATCTCCTTGCCTGCAAAGCTGCCCCACGTGACGGCGTGCACCGCGTCGCTGCTCTCACTACTTTGGAATTCACCTGCGGCATTGCCAGCGTAGTAGCTTATTTCGCCTTCTTTCCGGAGGCGATCAAGGTGTGGTCGGAGTGTGGTGTGGAAGGTAGAAGCGGGGACGAAAAACTCGACGAAGGCCTTTTGGAAGACGAAACCGCCTGGTGGGCCCCAGCCATGAATGGAGTGAATAGAGGGCAGACCATCGACGGCGGGCTGGGAGGCTATGGTCCAGTAGCCCTTCAGCCGGGTCAATTGGGTGAGTTCAGAAGTGATCAGAGCCGTCTCGGGTGAGAGAGTTGCGGATTCGGACCAGGGGAGCTGTTTTGGGGTTTGGCCTGCGAGGTGGGATATGAAAAGATGCGTGATTTCTTCGGGAGTGGTTGGTGTGCTCCAGAGGGAAAGAGCTTGGGCCGGGGAAATTGTCAGAGACGTTGGGGAGTAGGTCAAGGGTGGGTTGAAGGCGGGAGAGCGCGCATCACCGAAGCGCCCGTTAGGGAAATCATCCCAGGTAGCTTCACGCGACAAAGGGTTGCTGTTTGGTGGTATGAATCTGGCTGGGGAGGAGGAGCGGTGGGAGTTAGTGGTTAGCTGGGCAGCCGCGGAGGACGAAGCGGAAGAGAGGGCGCGGTGGTGGGCGGCATTGCCGTTGAAGAGAATGGATACGTCGTCGATTGCGGAGACGTTATTGTCATCAGGATCTGGTGGAATAAGATTGCAGCGATCCAGTAGCGAGCTGACGGCTTTCTCCAGGTTCAGAGTGTAGAAGTGGAATCCTCTCGGTCCTTTAGCTTTCACCTCTCTGATGCTTTCGACGACATCATGGATAGCTTCTACGCCTACTTGCTTCACAGCCTCGTCATCACCTTTGACGCCTTGTAGCTTGTGAAGCAATTCCAAAGGTACCTTCGCATGAGCAAGCTTCGTCGTCCTCATCAAGATCTCGTAGCTTTGTAACGGCATCAGTCCTGGGATAATTGGTATTTGGGCAAAAATTCCTGATTCATGCTCCCTCAGCATTTTCTCATATTTCGAGTATGCTTCAACGTCGTAAAACAATTGTGTCATGATGAAGTCCGCTCCTGCTTTCGTTTTGTCTATTAGATATGGCAAATCGTGTAATGGGTCCTGATCCGTAGGATGCGACTGATCCGCATGGCCTTCCGGATATCCTGCAACACCTATACAGAAGTAGTCGCCGTGAACACGCCGTATGTACCTGACCAGGTCGATTGCCCATGTAAAGTCCTCGTTGCTATCATCTTCATCTTTGCCATTTTCCGCCTCATCCTCAAGCCTGTACTCTTCCTCCCTGGGTGGATCCCCTCTCAGAGCTAGTATATTCCGTACACCAAGTACTTTCGCCTCTTCCAGTGCTTCATCTACCACTTTGCGTTTCATGTTCGTGCATGTAAGATGTAGGCACGTTGTAAGGCCTAGCTGGCGTTGACATATCTCTGCAAGCTCGAGGGATCTCGAAGAGGTACAACCGCCGGCACCCCATGTTACTGTGACGAATAGAGGTCGCAGAGCACTGGACATGCGCTCCAGACGGGTTTGTAGATTGGAAAAGCCCTGCTCTAGCTTAGTAAGATGGCCGAAGAAACAGATTAGAGCGGGCTACTATTTGAGTCTTTGGAGGGAAGAATTCAAGGGAAAAGTAGTTGGCATCATTTGACAGAGCAGCAATCTTGTCCGTGATCTTCTCCATGTTGACGACGAGAGGTATCAAGGTCTTCGTCCTGTGAGGTCGGTAATGGACACGACTGGGTTGTAGATCATGATATGAGGGTGGACTTGAATGTCGCTGTCACTAGAAGGTAGCAATTTGAGTAAGGGGATCTAGCGGATGGAGGAGATGCTTTGGAAAGAGGATTTAGATATGTCTGCCAGGTGTCATTGTCGACATGGCGGTTCACGTTGGGACGTTCAGTCGGCTGTGCGCGGGCAAATCTTGAATTGCGGAGAGGCATTGAACCTCCTCCTGCCATACTATCCTACGCCTGGTGGTCTAGTGGTTTTGAGAATCCATATCTTGCAATGTCTTAGGCAAGAGAACCATGAACATCTCGCTATCGAGATAGAAGCGCTCCTTGCTTGACTATTAATTACCGATATAATTTCATGACGCCAACTTAGATATTTTCAACCATGCTATCGACGCTTCGTGTCATGTACAGACGCCTCTACCTGCATCTTCGTACGAGATGTGTAAATTCCTAAACACCGAATGTATAGATGAAAGGTAATTTTTCATTTTCCCACGTCCACTCAAACAGCCTCCCATTCTCCAAATACGCACCATCTTGCACTTCGATCGGCCAGCACTAGTCCTCGCCATGTCCCCCTTTCTCCAATCTTGATGATTGTCTCCCATACGCCTCCATCTGCCGCCTCATCCATGCTGACGCTGTTGTCACTTTTCTTCATGAGTCTTAGTATCTTTCCACTTGGTGCTTGTATCGCGAGTTTCGCGGGCTTCTGCTGCTGGCTGCTGTTACTGGAATTGGAGCCAGCTTGGGAGAAGTAGTCGTTCGCCGATGTTGCAGTCGAGATCATACTCATTGCTGATGAAGGACGAGCGAAGGGGTTCGGAGAAGCAGATCGTGCTTCGGGTGAGTTGCAGCTTAAGAAAGACGGATGCTGGCGCACGGCGAAAACAAAGGTGTTATTGATCGCTAGACGTGCGCATTGAGGTTGGGCCACGTACAAATCATGGCGTTGAGCATGAGGCGTAGGATGGCGAAGAAGGAAGTCATAAAGGGGATTATTGCCTGTGTGGACAATGGGCAAGGAAAAGGCCAGAGCATGAGGATTGTCTTTGATAGAATGCATGAGGCCTCGCTTGCCAGCATAGACTTTCAGTGTACCATGGCCAACGTCACCAGGTAACAGCGCTTTCACGGTGTAACGTTTCTGACCCTTCACCCATTCTGCTTGGGCAAGTGCGCGATTAGTGGTCGTGTCGCCACTTTCGAAAACATCACCATCGGCGTCACGAGCATAGGAACTGGACTCTACCTCCGCGATACACTCAATGTCTGCTGGGACTGTAAATTGAATATGGACAAGCTCCAGATTTTCAATTCGAAGGAGGCTCGTATCATAGTCAATCATTTGGACGTTATTTCGAAAATACGGTGGGCAGGCACAGGGTAGAGCAAGAAGGACATCTGGAGCGATTGGTGGACATATGTGCTGCTGTTCGAAGTTCGATGGTATATGCGTGTAGCAAATCTCCATTGGTCTCGTGAGAAAGAATCCGTTTTCGGCGATCTGAGACCCGGTGCTTGAGTATCGACCGCGCTTGGGATTTGTTGGGCTCGCCAGCGAACAGTCCATTATCCTCCAGCAATCATCCACGATCACAGCATTCCACCAATGATTTGGCCTGGGATTGCTGTCACATTCGACAATCTCGCCTGGTGACTTGAGGCAGCCCCTCACAATTTCTGCGTGTAAGCCCACCGACAAGCACATTTCTGAGACTAGCACTGCAACCTCCTCCGAACAGCCTCTTCTCATTTGGATCACACGTTTTGAGTCGACTTCTCCTTCGAAGTCTTCCTCCCAAGCAACCTTCTCGCTGACCCAGGTAAAGATGGCCCTCAACCTCTGCACATCGCTTCGGTACGGTCGACATACGTAGCCTTGAGCTAAACTTGCCGGATTGGTCATTGGCGGTAGACTGTTCACGAATCGAGCACTCTTATCGACAAGTTGAAGGTTCACAGCTTGAAAGTCCGTGGGATGTTGAATGGGCATCCCGTCGGCTCCTTCGTCCCCTTCAGCAGCTTCCAAGAGAGAATCTACAGGTGCGACTACGGGATAGTTCATCATCTGACATCTCTCGATCCGCTCGTTCCTTTCGTTTCGACTCAGCGAATTTGATCGATTCACGTCTCGTCGAACTTGGACCCAGTCAATTTCAGTTTTACCACCGCCCAGGCCCATGTCTCTAGCCGCACTGCCTCCCGCGATGGCTGTGACTCCATGAGGTAGCAGGTTCTTAATGGGAGAGCGTGGAGTGTCGGCCTGGCCAGCAGCAATACTGCTCCTCGCACTAGCT